CCAGATTCGCGGCGCGCGGTCACCGCAGCGAGTGGCTCGATCTCTCACCACTTGGAGCTCGCATCGCATTTTTTATTCAATACCCGGTATGAAAATCGGCTTTGAGCCGCGTCTCTCACGGTATGAGGGTGTAACGCCGAACAACCCCTTCGGAGGGGGGTTGTTCACGGTGAGACACCTTGAATATATGCTGTAGATTCTTTCTTTTCCGATTGTTTCATCGTTTATTAATAATAGTTCGTTAATAGTATTTCGGATTTTTCTTACACTTTTCCTTTCTTTTTTTTTTTTCATATTTTGTTTCTTTTTTCCTCGTTTCATCGTACGCATGTCGACCGCGTTCACTCAAAATGGTCGTCTTCGGTCGTCAAAGTGAAGATGAAGGGGGATGCTGACTCTCTCACACACACACACACACACACACGCACGCACGCACGAGTGGCAAATCGAAGCAGAATCTGCCATGATCGATACACTCTCTCGTCGCTCTCTCGTACGCTTCTCGGTCCCTCCTCAACCGTCCGAAATTCCGACGCTAACCGTAACCGCATCCGTCGTTCCGTGTATAAAATGAGAGATAAAATGAAACGAAATGAAAAGCACTAAACGTCGCGTTAAAACAATCGCTAAGAACAATCGCTAAAACGACGCTCGGCGGGTCCGTTCGCGGTGGGGACACCGCGAACAGGAGCCGCCGCTGCCGTTGATCGCGACGTCGTTTCGACGACGATCGATCCTAACAAAAGGACGCTCCGGCGGGCTTTTCTGTTTCAGACGCGTCGCACTGTGTTGTTATGTGTTGTCATAGTTATTTCATTGAAAAATTAATTTCGCCGTTTCCGAAACACGCACCGATTTCTGTCTGTGAAACACAAGTCTGAACAACTCCTCTTAAGTTTTGCCGAAAGGACTTAGATAATTTAGAGAAGCTAAAAAGAAACACTTTCGAGCGATCCTGATTTCGAAATTACGACGAGTGAGAAGACGACGATTAAGAAGAAAAAGGAGAGAATACAGAAAATCAAGAAAATAGCACGAAAAAAGCACCAAAAAAAGAGAAGAAACGAAATTTAAATAAAAGCATTGCCTTAAAGAGAAGAAGAGTACACCTACACTGTCGAAGGAACAAACGAGAGACACAGGGGGGAGAGAAACAAACAAACAAAAAAAAATAACACTTTAGACGCCTACAAAGTAAATTGTAAAGATATGACTAAAGTATATTTTTAACAAGTTTTGAGAAACTTTAGATTTTAAACGTAAATTTTAAAAGCGAAAAATGAAAAAAAACGATGAAATTCTTAATAACTAAAAATGTGATCTAAAAGTCGTTGCTACCAAGAGAAGCCTTATGTCCTTGTTTCAGTTAGTTCGGTTCCAAACGTAAGTACCCCACAACTACAACTAACTGTCGATGTCGATAAACCTTTTGCATGGCATGCTTTACAGCGGAGCTTTTACCCTGCTCGTCTGTCTCTCTCTCTCTCTCTCTCTCTCTCTCTTTACATTCGGCTCTGATCTCGGCCCGCGAAGTCGCCCCCGCTCGAGAGAGGGTGTCGCCATGTCCACGGGAAGCCCCCGTGGCCAACGGGGCATTCTCTCCAGCGGATCTCTCTCATCTCCACTCCTCGTCTCGTCTCGCCTCGTCTCCTCTCCTCTATGCTCTCTCGTAGCGTCGAACTCGCGATTCGTCGCGAGTTCTCGCGACTCGACCACGAGAGGAGAGCAAGAAGAGAGAGAGAGAGAGAGAGAGAGAGAGAGAGAGAGAGAGAGAGAGAGAGATAGAGAGAGAGAGAGAGACGGAGAGAGAGACGGAGAAGCGGCGCGCGACTTTGCGCCTCGGCGAGGATCTGTCGTGTTGTTTAGCGGCGGAACCGTAAACGGAACGATAAATCTTCGAACGGCCGCCACTTAAACCGTATCGTGCAAATAACATTACGTCCAAAGGCAACTGTTTTACAAGTTACCGTAATGACAGCCCTCGGTGGGTCGCGCGGGCGCGCGGCACCACCTTAACAACGGCCGCTATAAAACTTAGCTGGCGTAATGCATACTTTCGCGCGGCCCGTGCGCGCGGCTTGCTCTCGCCTACCCACCACCGGCTTGCTCTTTGCGAGAGGGAAAGAGAGTCCTCTTCTCTTTCTCTTTCTCTCGTGCTCGCTCGTGCTCACTCTCGCAACCGGGCCGCCGCGGCTTATTACGGTAAAACAGTTAAACGCGAAAGTGTCCGTAATAATAGCGACTACCGTAATGCCTACTGTTACTCGTAGAATCGCTGTTATGTATATCATCATTATAATTCGCGGATTATTAAGTAGTGCGCGCCACGAGGCTTAATGGCCGCGGCCTGCCTGTCGCGGGACGAGCCTCGGAACGGACGCGCGGAACTCGAGTCTCCAACACCCGCTTGACAGCCAGTTGAGCCTCGTGTGAACGTGTGAAAAGCTCGTGTCGCGACTTTATTTCGCCGGCGCGGCTGTTAATCGCGCGACTGACCGGCGGAAGAATTCAAATCTACGCGTCTCGCGTCTCCTTCCGGCCGCGCTCTCTCAGCCCGTCCTCCGACGTTTCGATCGTCGTCGTCGTCGTCGTCGTCGTCCGAACGCCGACGAATCGAGAACGAACTTGCAAAAACTTGTGGGGGCGGTGACGTTCGCCGCGTCTGAGGGAATTTCCTTTGCCAACGCGAACATTTCCTCCGCGCGATCGTCCCGGTGTCGCTCGGTCGTCGGCTCGAGGAAAACGGGCGGAAAAGCGCGAAAACGCAGCCGGGCGAAGAGCCGCAAATGGCGCGGCCTCGAGACAAAGAACGCGCGGGTACGCGCGGAATCATTCCATTTCCCGAGTTCGATGACGCAGCCCCGGGTCCGGTGCCAGGCCCGGGAGCTCCAACGATGATCAAGGCTGATGCGGGAGAAAGAGGGACGGTTGGGCGGTTGGGAGGAGGGAGGGGGGGGAGGTGGCGGTGGCGGCGGCGGCGAGGGCGAGGTGGGCTCGGCACCGAGCGGCGATGCAGAGCTTCGATTTCAAATTTCCTATTTCCCGACGAGTTCGCCTGTGTTGAAAACGTAGCGTGCAACGTAACAACGCACACGCCAGACAGAGAAAGAGAGAAAGAGCCGAGAGGGGCTGGGGGCTGGGGGCTGGGGGCTGGGGGCAGAAGAGGCAGAAGAGAGTGGGCGGTAGGCTGGGCGGGCGGGAGAGAGAAAATTGCATACACTCTCTCGGCACAAAACCGGGAGGGAAGAAAATGACGGTGGAACGCGCGACGACGATGGCAGGGGGTGGCGGTGGTGGCGGAGGCGGCAGCGGTAGCGGTAGCGACGGCGCCACGCTGAAACACACCACCGGCAACCCCGCTTTCGCCGAGTATTTTTTCGATGATTTTCGAACGCGCGAGCGCGCCAACTCATTCGCGTGTGCGCGCGCGCGCGCGTGTGTGTGTATGTGTGTATGCAAGCATGTACGTTTTATACGTATATATTTATATATATACACGCACACATACACACGCGCGCGCGCGCGCGTACGTACGTTGCATTTCTCCGTACACGTGAACGGCCCTATCGCTCCCTTTCGGCTGGGTCGTCGATGGTTGGCGTTGTTGCGCCGGGGATGCCAACGGAGGAAGCGCGGTAACGGCGGTAGCGCGGGGGAGGGCGGTGGTGGATGGTAGTCGGCGGCGGAAAGGCGTTAGGGTGCCCCTGGGTGGAAAGAGGAGGTCGTGCAACGGTGTCGGTAGTTGCATGAACCGGCGAGTAGATAGAGATAGATAGAGAGAGAGAGAGAGAGAGAGAGAGAGGGAGAGAGAGGGAGAGATCGAAGGGAGAGAGCGGTGGCGTGCGAACGGCCGTGAGATACTGCCGAGGGAACCGGGGGCGGCGGTGGGCCTGCATGCACTTTTTTTTCCGCACCCCGCGTATTGATCCCGGAGTCATTCAAAATGGCGGCCGGGGCCGAGTCAGCCAATGACTGCCTGAATCGATGACTGCAGCGAGCCACCCCCGGACCGGCCAATGGGAGGCCAATGGGAGGCCGTCGCACGCCGTTCTCTGCGGGAACTACCACTCCGATATACGAGACACAGGCCTCCCACGTTGTGTACCCTGGCACACATACACACATACACACACACACACACACACACGCACATGGACGTACGTACGTATGCACACGTGTGCACGCGAGCGTTCGCCGCGCACGTGTGTGTGTATGTGTGTGTGTGTGCGTAGCTGTTCGGTCCGCCGGGTAGAGCTCGTCGATGACCCGGGCGACGTCAATGATTTCCACGGAAAATTTTCCCCCCCAAAAATGGCAAAACTCGCTCCTCCGACCGGGTATCCCGGACCGGAGCGCGCGCTGTCGCTTTGATTAACGGTCTTCCTATATGCAGCCGCTCTTTCCCTCCCCCCGTCCCCTGCCTCCCTCCCTCTCTCTCTCTCTCTCTTTCTCTTTCTCCCTCGCCCGGCTCCAGCGAATACGCGAGACTGAAAGTACTGACTGCGCGTGGCAAAAATATTCGCGATCATCGACCGGCTGCCATCTTTCATGACTAGCTCCACCGTCATTGCCCGGGCAACGCGAGCGACGGTCTCTCTTCAAAATACATGAGCCCCCTCGTTCACTATATTTAAACATCCAGCGACGCTGAGTCGTTGAGAGATCGATCGTTTCTTTTCGTCGCGGCGACGAGCAGAGAGAAAGAGAGAGAGAGAGAGAGAGAGAGAGAGAGAGAGAGAGAGAGAGGAAGCGAGCGAGACCACGCGATGAATCTCTTTTATTTTATTCATTTGCACGCTTTTATTCATCCCCCGTTTATTTTCAACGCGCTCGACGGACATCGCGGCCGCCGACTTTCCGTCGGCCGTTTCCGCGGACTTTCCGTCGAGAAATAGAAGAGGCACGCGCACACACGGTGTGACAGAAAACGACGACTCGTCGACTTAGCGAGAACGGGCGGTAATCAGCGCGTTTAAAAATTAAATCCGACTTGATCTTACGTCCTCCGGCGGTTCTCTGCGGATGAAATGTTCACGGCTCCGATATTCCTGGAGCGAGGACGCTCTCTCTCTCTCTCTCTCTCTCTGACGCGCAGAAGAGCGCGCGCTATTATTTCGCATTCGCTCGTAAGAATGGTGCCATCGCCGCCGCCGCCGCCGCCGCCACCGCCGTAATCATCGTCGTTGTCGTCGCGGTATTTTTCCGATAACGCTGCGAGGCGCGTCAGTTTTTTCCGGAGCGATCACGACGCCGTCCGAAGTCACGACGCTATCATCGTCACCTTGATCCTGGATCCGCGCGCACTTATCTTATCTCGCGGCACGCACAAAGTCTCAGAAAACACGAAAGCGACAGATACGCCCATACGCGAGCTGCACAGCGCGGATCAGCCGTTTTGTCGTCGTCGTCGTCGTCGTCGTCGTCGTCATGTCGTCCCGACGCGAGCCTAGGGCCCCGGGGCCGGGGTGGATCTCTCGCTCGGGGTCGGAGGTTAAAATTTCAGGTCCGCACCGAGAGATCGATCGATCGTCCGATCGCGGAATTCGTTGCCGCACTTTGCGCATAGCGCGGGGCAAAGAGAATGTCGAAACTGCGCGAGGCACGAGGCACACGATTGCATCACGAGAAGTCGCAGTGTGCGGCGAGTTGCGTTACGTCTGTGTGTGCATATGTACTTAGATTGGCTCCTATTGACACAGCCGCAGACGACAGTGGTGGTACAGTCGGGAAAAATGCATGCGACGCGTTCCGCGGGCTCGTCGCCGCTCGCGGCTCGCGCGAGCGTCCGTGCCGTGCCGTGCCGTGCCGTGAGTTCAACAATACGCACGCACGCACGCACGCACGCACGCACGCACGCACGCACGCGCGTCTTTGATCTCGCGAGACATTGCGCATTTGACATCCCGAATTGTCAGTGCAATCGGTATCGATTATCCGCCGTCCGAATCATCGGTCAGGATCAAACAACCGCACGACGCGACGGCGTGCATCCGCCGCGCGAATCTGCAATTCATTCTGTTTTTTCACACGCGCGAGCTTTCAGCCTTTTCGCGAGCGAACGAGCGAGCGAGGCGCGCACGTAAATTATCTCCCCTACCCGGCGTGCGGTCCGAAATAATTTGATTCATTACGCACGTTTGCCGCGTTTGGTTATATTTAATGCTGCGATATAGAGCCGCATATGTACGTGCGTGTGTGCCTGCGTGCGTGCGTGCGTGCGTGCGTACGTGCGTGCGTGCGTGCGAGCGCGCGTACGTTCCGGCGAGCGTTCTCATATTTAATGTAAACCAAATTTAGAAGCGGAACAAAGTACAACGGTCAGCGGCGGGATTCTGCACGTTCGCTTGATTACTGTTAATCAGCCCCTCTTCCAAATGGACTCGAAAAATTCATGAGGTATCTCCTGCTCGCGGCCGTGGTGACTTTCCGCGCGACCATTGTCGCGCGGTGCCTCGCAAATTGAAAGAACATCGCGCTCTCGCGCTCTCGCCGCTGATTTTTCATTTTCGTAACGGGCCGCTCGACTCGACGATCTTTTCTCTACGTCCGGATTGCTCCGTTGAAAAAGAGGGATCGTACTTGCCGTGAAATTTCGGCAGACGGCCGCGGACCTGTCACGCGTCGAGTCGCGACGTCGCACGCGACTCGAATTCCTCGCGAGGGCGAGGACGAGGAGCGCGTATTGTCCGCTCGTTTCGCGACAACCGCGATGACAACGACGGCAACGACGGCAACGACGCCGACGTCGACGACGGGGAGAAAGAGCACGGCCGGTGCACTTTCTGACGCAGCTGTACTAAGTGCACGATGGAATGGGTTTTTCTAGCGCGGGCAGTTTTTCTATTAAGCTTCATTTGTTTCTTTCATTGCGTAATGCGCCGGACGCGTCGCTCATTTCATCCTACTGCCCGGCCGGCTACTCCTACCGTTAGAATTCTTAATCCGGGCCGTCAGTTTCGATGGCTCGCGTGCTGCACGTTCCTACGATTCGCCGATTCGCCGAATCGCGGGCTCGTCGCGACGATCTTAATCTCGTTTCCCGGCGGAATAAAGTAGTGAGTCTGTCGTTAGCGCGACGCGCGCGCTCGCGGTCGTCGCGACAAATGTGATAACGCGCGTGAGAAAGAGAGAGAGAGAGAGAGAGAGAGAGAGAGAGAGAGAGAGAGCTTGGTAGGCGAGAGACCTATCGAGACCTACGTAACGCACACGCATTTCGGTGAGTTCAATCCGCCGACGTTTCGCCGACGGGCGGGATCGCGAAAACCTGCGCGCTTCCCACTCCCCCTGATTATCGCCTTTCAATCGCGCGCCGGAAGTCCCCCCCTTTCCTCTCTCGCGCCTGCGACCCTCGGCGAAATCACACCGCTCGCCAGAGGCGTCCCGAAGGAGCAATCTTTCTTGCTGATCTTTCCGTAATTTCGTAACGAGCCGGAAGTATCGGCCAAGTCCGGCATATCTCGCGGACGTCTTTCGAGCTGCTGGTGGCTCTTGCACTTTTTTTCACGCGAATATCTCGCGCGAGTGCGCGCGTGTGTATCTCTGTCTCCCCCTCCCCCCCCTCCCGTCCTCCCCCTTTCTCTCTTCTTCTCATCGTCGCCGCCGCTGTTGCTCCATCAGAGCGTGATCGATATACCGTCGAGGTTAGCACGGACAAAAACCTACGAACGACTCACCCTTTTCTCCACTCGTTCGTTCAGTCGTTCCTTATTTCACCGCCAGGCGTCACCTCGCCACGGGGTGGTTCTCGCGATCGGGGGTTGAAGCGCGAGGCACGAGCGGCGAAACGAATCTCCTGCGGCAGGAAGTCCGCTTCCCCTTCGCCTACGCGGCCTTCGCGGACGGAATGGAAAAAAAGAGACATTCATTCCGCGGGACACGCTCTCTCTCTCTCTCTCTCTCTCTCTCTCTCGCTCTGTGCTCCTCTTCTTCTCCGATACGGAATCATGAGACGCGCCGTCAGCGTCCGTCGTCAGTTCCTTCATTCGTCCCGGACCGATCAGACGCGTTTCGCGAAGACTCGGCCGGCCGAGATCGTCGCGCCGTGCGTGCGACTCGCCGCGGCAGAAAAATCGCCGGCGCGGCGACGCCGCGCGAGCCGAGAAGCCACGCTGCCGCGTTCGTATTCCAAGCCGCACCTCGCGTGTGTGACGCGCGGCGCAAAACACACGCGGGGTAAGAAATATCCTCCGCCGGCGTTTCCACCACCTGACGACCACCTCCGTCGAGCGCGTTTTCGCGCACTCCCCCGCGCGCTCCACCGGCGGCGGGCGATCCAAAGTAGGCAGGATCGCTCGCACGCATACACGCAGGCACCGCAAGACAAATGTCTTCCTACGCAAAGGCGTGCGGCCCTATCGGGGTAGTCGATCGGCTCGATTCACAGAGCGCCGCGCCGCGCCGCGCCGCGCCGCGCCGCGCCGCGCCGCGCCGCGCCGGCACAACTGGCCGTCGGAGTTGCAAGTGCACGTGCGGCAAAACTCGTACGCAGCAAGTACCCGTCCGTCCGTCCGTCCGTCCGTTCGTCCGTCCATCCGTCTGTCCGTACGTCCGTTGGTCGGTGCTTCAAGTCCAGCTGCCGATCGGGATCAGGGGGAATCGGGATCGGGATTGAGATCTAAAACACCGCGTACGTACGTACGTATGTACGTACGTACGTGCAGCACGCACCCGTGCACGCACACGCGCGCACAGGCGCGCGGGTGTACTCGTACCTGACAATCCACCCACCCTATACGCGAGCGAGCGCGGAGGCTCGATTCTCACCTGTTTTTATCCTCGCGTACGCCGCGCCGCGCCGCGCCGCGCCGGCCCGAACCGGCCGCTTCATTTGTAATTTAAAGTGAGCCTCGATTGCCCAATGCGTTCTACGTACTTATTTTCGGAGCTCTCTCTCTCTCTCTCTCTCTCTCGCTCTCGCTCTCGCTCTCGCTCTCACTCTCTCATTCACACACTCTCTTTCTCTCGCTCTACATAGGAACACACGTTCCGCGGCGAACGTGCGAGACCCTCTCCACCCGCGCACTGCCTCGCTCAGTTTCTCCCCGTCTCTCTCTCTCTCTCTCTCTCTCTTCCTCTCTCGCGCTCTGTCTGTCTCTCGCGGCTCTCTCCGAGCCGAAATTCTTACCTCGGCGGCAGCCTGCCGCGAGCGGAAGTTCGATCGCGATCGCGCCCGGCCACTTTTCGTGCGGAGACCCTCGTGTCGGAAGTGCGTTACCTTCGTCTTGCTCATGCCGGCCGCGGCTGATCGCCGGGGAATATTTCCGTCTATCGAGGCGAACTCGCACGCGCGCGCGCGCGCGCGCGAAATTGCGGCGAGTCTCGTCGCGTCTCCCGCGGATATATCTAGATCTGCCGACAGACTTGACCTCTTTGCAGAGAGATATTGATGCGCGCCTATTGTGATTGTCAGGTGTGTGTCGGCTGATAGGATCAGCTTTATCGCCGCGAGTCTCACTTGTTAGGAATACGAGGAGGAGACTTCTCTCGTCGCCGCACGGCCGACTCCGCTTACCCGCTCAGGCCTGAAGACGCGACTCTCGGCTGATTAATCGACGGAGCGTACTTCGAAATATTAGCCAAGATCAGATCAGGTACCTCGTGGGACTTTTGTCTCTTCTCGCGAGGGAACCTCTCGCGAGATTCTCGGTCTTTGTGAAACCTTGCGTGCACGCGGGGGTGGAGTTCATAGATGATTTTGGAAATGTTCAGTCGAGGTTAGAAGACGATCTTGGCAGATGCCCGAGAGGAAACTTTCGAGATAATTATATCTCGTCAAAGTGTTATTAGCGCGATTAGACGGGGACGTGTTTTCAAGAGGAAACTTCTGTGTACAATCCTTTCGGACATCTCGCGTGAGGCGTATCGAGGAAGCTACCGAAGGACTACGCGTGAGGAGCAGTTTCACCGTTTCCCGACATTGCGTAAAAATTTCTAAACTCGATTATCCGCTCCATGTGTGACGCGTGTTAAACATTAAAACGAAAATTTCCGCGAGGTTACCTCGTCGACCTTATCGGGACAACGCGAGGTCGGCCATATATAGCAGAAATTCTCAACGGACACGTATTCGTCGCAAACTGCGCATACGCTCGTCGTAGGATATCTCTTTAAGGAGCGGTAGACATTTTTCGACGGTCGGGCGCGCCGCAACAAAGAAGGTTACAGCGCGCGTGGCGTCGCACGTGCGACGAAGGTCACTCGATTTTTTCCACCATCGCCGCCCGGACGACCCATTGGCTAACTTTTTTCGCGCGGCGATCCACCCTCGTCGCACGCGCGCTGGCAGAGAGACTCGGATAGGGTGGACACGACGGGGCTGATTGGGGGTACGCGAGACGACCGGACGCGCCGCGCCGCGACGCTACGCTCTTTTCTTCGCTGCCTTTCTTCGTCGTCGCCGTCGCCGTCGTTCCGTCGTTCGACCGGAAGACCGAGAGAGACAGAGGGCGAAAGGGTGGACGCGCGCGTCTCTCGGACGGGACTCTCCCTCGCGCGTGAATCGCCGCGGACACGGCGAGGGGCAGGGTGAAGGAAAAAAAAGGGGGTCGCGCCTCCCCACCCCCGCCGGACTCATACTTCCACGTGTACACCACGTGGAAAAAAGGACGAGGCCAGCGGTAAAAAAGCGGCGCGTGGGGGTTGCCGAGCTGGTGGGGGTTGCGAGTCGAGGCGGTCGAGACAGGGAGGGAAAGAAGGGAGAGAAAAGGACGCGGGAAAGGGTGCACACAGGGTAGTAGTAGCCGTAGCCGCGATGCTCGGCGAGGGTAGCTCAGGCGGCGGGAGAGGGACAGACGAAGGAGCGAGCAGGGAGGGGAAAGACGTTCGCCAGAGAAGGGAGAAATAGGAGCCTAATGCGGTGGTGGGGTAGGTACGTTAGATGAGAGAGCTCGGCAAGGCGGCAGGGGTGGACGAGGGCGAGGAGGAGGAGGAGGAGGAGGAGGAGAAGGAGGAAGAGGAGAAGGATGAAGAGGAAGTGGAGGAGGAGGAGGAGGAGGAGAAAGAGGGAGAAGATGGGAAGGAAGGAAGGAAGGGGTGGCTCGGTTGTCTACTTCGAAGCGAGGAGGGTGCGTAAGACGAGAGCGGGATGACCATCGACCACCCTTCGCCGTGAAATGAGCATCGGAGCGCGTCGTCCAGCGGGAAAGTCGACGTCCTGCGTGTCGCGGGGTCGATGATCCATGTTTAAATCGCGATTTGACTTTCAAAACGCGATGGCGACGGCGGCCGATGACGGATGACGTTCGGCCCGGCACGCTGTGTGTACACCAGATCCACTCTCGTCGCTACTTTCGCCGATAAGTTCCGCGCGCGCGAGTCTCGCTGCTGGCCCGATCGGTCGCGACGGGGCGACGGGGTCGCGGACGTGGCAGTCGCGCCAGCCATGTCCAAGGATTCGCCCTCTGCTGCCGTGTCGCTCGCTCTCTCTCTCTCTCTCTCTCTCTCTCTCTCTCTCTCTCTCTCTCTCTCTCGTAATGCGTGTAATAAACTCGAGCTGAGCGCGATCCGTGAAAAGGGCTAAAAAAGAAAGCCTGCCCCACTCACTCCCCCACGGTTAGTCACGCGTGCGTTGCCATACGGGACACGAGGGAGGAGGCCATTTTTATACGACGGTCCCCCTTCTTTTTATTCGTACCTCAGACTGCTACACCCCCTTGCACACGCAGCGAGTGAGGAGCCCTACGATTTTTCGGTCAGTCGAATAAGCCGATTCGTGGCGCTCGCATGTCCAACCGGAAGACTGTGCGTGTGTGTGGGTGTGTGTGTGACACGCGCGTCTCTAGTCGCGTCGCGAGACGAACGAAAAAGAGCCAGAGAGAAAGAGAATCGCGTGTCGCTTTGTGCCACGAGAGAAGAGAGGTCCAAGAGAGTGAGAGCGGAGGAGGAGGAGGAGAAGTCCGAGTGTGAGTTGACGCGTCGGAGATGATCCGTGACTTATACGGACGAGGGAAGTTTTCAAGGACGAGCTCTCTCTCTCTCTCTCTCTCTCTCTCTCTCTCTCTCTCTCTCTCTCTCTCTCTCTCTCTCTCTCTCTCTCTCTCTCTCTTACCCGGCAAAAAGAGTCCGCGGTGCGAGCCGTTCGTACCGCGCGCGGTACTTACGTGCGCCGGAACGTAACCGCGAAGTATAAGATAGCGATCGCGATAGACAGGGACAGATAATCGGTTCTTACGGCGAGGGTCCTCTTTCTCCTTCTCTCTTTGTCTCTCTCTCTCTCTCTCTCTCTCTCTCTCTCTCTCTCTCTCTCTCTCTCTCTCTCTCTCTCTCTCTCTCTCTCTCTCTCTCTCTCTCCCTCCCTCCTTCCCTCCCTCCCTCTTTCTTTCTCTCACTCGTTCACTCGCTCGCTCTCTTTCTCCTTTCCTTCCCCCGCGAGGAGGGTTTTCTTGGCCGGGTGAAACGGAGACGGAGCACGACCCCACTCTCTTTCTCACCCCTTACGACGCTTACCCCCGTACGAGGCGTCGGCGGCGGAGAATCCCCCACCCACCCACCTGGCTGCGGGGTGAAGGGAGAGGAGGGTTTGAGGAAAAGGGGGAGATAGAGCGCGCGCCTCGGCGCTCTGCTTGGTGGGGGCAAAGGAAAAGAGGGGTAGCTTGAAAACTCCTGTCCTACGACGGCTTCAGTTTTTCGTCCTGCCGGAGGTAGATTTTCGTCGTGGGAGGACGCGGCAGGGGTCACGAGTCGGTCCACGGTAACCTGGGCCTACGCCCAGGCCCGTCGGACCCGCGGTACGACGTAGCCGCGGTAAGAAAGGGCCGAAGGCGAAGGCGCTCCGAGGTGGCCAGAAATTTCGCGGCCGCGCACCACCTAAGACAACGCCCCTACCCGAACACGCGTTCTTTAAGGCACGAGGGGGTGGCTTTTAGTCAGACGCACGCGGTCTGAGAAGCGCGCCACCACCGGCCCCCGACGGAGAAGGACTTAGCGTTTCTCGCGAGCCGCAGACCCGAGTCAGTTTCGGTTCCTCCTCCGTCAAGGACTCGAACGCGGAAGAGGAGAGAGCTTTTTCCCCCGTTGTCGTCGTATACGTCGTCGTAGTCGTCGTAGTCATCGTCGCCGTCGTCATCGTCGTCGTCATCGTCGCCGTCGTCATCGTCGTCGTCGTCGTCGTCGTCGTCATCATCGTCGCCGCCGTCGTCGTCGTCGTCGTCGTCGTCGTCGTCGTCGTCGTCGTCGTCGTCGTCGTCGCCGTCGTAGTCGTCATCGTCGTCTTCGCCGTCGTCGTTGTCGTTATCGTCGTCGTCCTTTGAAGAGGAACAACAGTGTCTTGGCCGATACCGTGCACGAAGGTCGCGATACACATAGGGAGAGAGCGAGAGAGAAAGAGATAGTTAGAGAGCAAAGTGCGACGATCGTTTTGCGCGTACCGACCACCGCCGAATTCATCGTCATCTCTGCCTCCGGCCACTCGTCGTTCGTCACTTGGATCTCTCCAGTAAGGGATCCACCGGACTCTGCTTCTCCGCGGAATGTCACACCGGCGCGTACCGTATCTCTTGTGCCAGCCGAGTGTAAACGTGCGACTTTGCGACTCGCCGAGAGGAAACGCGTAGAACAGTCGTTTTCTCGCGGCGACCGCGATCGCCGATTCGCGCGCGTATTCGCCACGACGATCTCTCCGCTGCTGTTCCTTCTTCTTCTTCTTCTTCTTCTTCTTTCGCGCGATTTTACCGTGTTTTCCCCACTTTCGACCAGACCACCACACTGACCCACCCCCTCCAGGCCCCTGCTTCCGAATCCTGACATGCCCGGTACGTCAACGTCGCCGTCTCTCACGACAGTGTTTCGTCGCGATCGCACACGCTTCGATCTCGCCGCGATCTCTTCGGGGGTGTGCGACACGATGTGCTTCGGTGAGAGCGCGAAGACGACGCGGAGAGACGCGACGGACTCGAGTACTCGACCACGTCGGCGACGTGAATGAAATCTGAAGACGCGATGAGACGATCCGCCGATCGCCGAGAAAGAGTGCAGAGAAGAGGGAGAGAGAGAGAGAGAAATATCGCGTTGATCGCGAAATCGGCGAAGCACGGTGATCGCGCGGCGAACGCTGTCGCCGTCCGACGACGAATCGGCCGTGGGATCACGTAATTGCCGCGCGTCCGACGACAAACGCACCGAGCGGAACGCGAGCGTCCGAGGCAAACGAGTCGGCGGCGATTGTGCGAGTATCTGTGCGCGACCGATTCCGGATTATTAGCCGAGGTGGACAGCCGACACTCGGCCTGTCACGTCGCCCGTGGAGGAGCCCGGCGCAACAAATTATTTGCTACGCGCGATTCATTGACATCTCGCGACGTGACGCGATCTCGACGCGCGGCTGTCAGTGCAGTCGGCGCGGCTGCGAAAATTCGGCAGCCTGTTCGGCTCGTGATTTCGTGAGACCGCTCAGGCCGCGAAGATGCGTCTCCTCGCGTCTCTTCCGGAGAGAGGGAGAGTGAGAGAGAGAGAGAGAGAGAGAGAGAGAGAGAGAGAAAGAAACGAGAGAATCATCGCGAGGAACGATCGCGCGTGCAATCCCGTGTCGTGTGAGCGAGAGTGTCACAGTGAGACGCCGCGATCGGTCACTCGCAATTGGTGGTCACGTCGACGCGAAGTCGCAGTCCGCGTCACGCGCACCCGCCAGGGTATTCTCAGTGCTTCGGATATTCATTTTTCAGGCCGCCTCGTGTGCTCCGATTCGTCGTCTGCCCCGTCTGCTGCGACGCTCCGCTCGCTCGACCTGTGTCGCGAATAAATCTTTCACCCGTCAATGTGTCGCTCCTTCTCTCCCCTGTCTCTCTCTCTCTCTCTCTCTCTCTCTCTCGGAGTCGAGCCTCGGCCTCTCCGTCTCTTCGTTCCGATCGCGCGTTTTTCCGCGCGTGATACGCGCTCTTTCGTCCGACACGCCGCGCTTTATCGTCGCCGGGTGACGAACACCGCGCGCGACGGCAAAGGACGTTCCCTCGCGGGCCGGCCGATTGTCCCCTTTGAAGCACGCGAGACTGAGCGAAAAATCGAGCGGCCGAGAGAGAGAGAGAGAGAGAGAGAGAGAGAGTCCGCGGAGTGGCGCAGGAGAGGGCGTGAATTTGTGTTACGTTAAATTACCATCGCGAGAGATCTGGATGTGTCAAATGGACGAAATTCTGCGTGCCGCGTAAAATTAGTGCGTGCTCCTGACAGTGTCTGCCGTATGAAATTGTTGTTTGTGTCGTGGCCGGAAGTGTAATGCTTCATTACAGAACGCCACTTGGAAGAAGAGAGCGGCGCGCGCGCTCGCGCTCCGCGCGATTACCGGCGCACGAATCCCCCCCGCTGTCGCTCCGATATCGCGAAATTTTATTAGGATTCTCCTATAATCCGATTCGCCGCGCGTTACTCGGCACTTGATATTTTCGCGCTGCGGCAGCGCGGCTGCTTTTAGGCAGTGTCATCTTGCAAAAATCAATGTTTTAAATGACGTTGTCCTCAGGTACCGCGGAGATGTCCGCTTCGCGGATTTCACGCGACCCGCGACTCTCCTTCCCCGCGCCCCTCCGATAATCGTCGCGGATCGTGGTGAGCCGGTCGTGCGAGGGCTCTGAGAACGCTGTGAAACGGTTGCCTGATGAGACATCGAAAGACGGATAAATAGATAGATAGATAGATAGATAGATGGATAAGATCGATTGAGAGACGCGAGTAGTCGCGGCTACTGCAAAGTGCTGGTCGCGTGTGACAGCGAATAACGCAAAAATGTATCTTTTTTTCTGGATTGCAGCTTCGAGCGGGAGACGCGTTGCAGCGAGAGATTCCCGCGCAGGAGAGGAAGACTGGACAAAGCGGAAGAAGCAGAATAAGACGAGCAAAGCAGAAGCGGAGGAGCAGAAGAGCGAGAAAAGACCGAGAGCCGAACGAGTAAAAGCGGGGTTGCGAGGAAGAAAGTGATTAGCGAGTTGATTGTGCGAATCCGAAAATAGCGAGGGAGCTGACAGAGGACGGAAAGATCGGGAGTAGCTATACGGAAGCACAGAAAAAGAGAGCGAGCGAGAGAGAGAGAGAGAGAGAGAGAGAGAGAGAGAGAAAGAGGCAGTGGGAGATAGAGATAGCGATAAAGCAGGCGATAGACAGAAAGAGAGAGAGAGAGAGAGAGAGAGCGAGAGCGAGAGCGAGAGCGAGAGTGAGAGAGAGAGAGAGAGTGTGAGAAAACGAAGCAAGAATCGGAGAGAAGCTCGACAGAGAACCCCGCGCTGCATACATATATATTTCAGTGTGTTCAAAAAACGAGTGTACCTAAGTGCAATATTTAATTAAACCTAAACGATAATAAGAAGCAACCACAATTACCATCGACGATATCGGTAACGACGAGCGGTGATCGATAATCGAATAGAATTCCTTTTAAAGAGTTAAAACGCTAGAGTCGCATTTCGAGGAGGAGTCATCGACGGACGCGACAGCCGCTACGGAGTAGAGAGGGTCGGCGTGTAAAGCAGAGGCGGAAGCCGAGGAGAAGAAGAAGAAAAAAGAAAGAAGGAGCAGAGAAACGGGGAGTGACGGAAATCCCGGAGAGGAGCACTCTCGTCCCGCTTAAAAGAATTCACACGGACTCACCGACAGGCGAGAGACACGCGCGCGACAGCGAGCACACTTTTTCGAAGGCTGGGCGCGCGTACTCTCTCGCGCACGCACGCACGCGCACACACACACACACGCGCGCACATACACACACACACACACACACAACATCGCACGCACATCCAACATAACGGGGCTAAAATACTCAGGGCAAAACGGGACGAGCGGTAATCATCCGCGAGTGTGATTTCTCACCCCGAAGAGGTAGAAGAAGCAGAAGAAGAAGTGAGGAAGCAGAAGAAGGAGGAGGAGACAGAAGAAGAAGAAGAGGAGAAAGAGGAAGAAGAAGAAGAAGAAGAAGAGCGGAAGCCTCACCCGACCGATATCTGATTCGCGTCCGCGTGGACTATCCTTCTCGTTCACACCGTCCGGGCTGGGCAATCCTGAATTTTAACCTGAACTTAAGTGTATGCTAGAGTTTAAGTTAGATAGACGAAGGAAATAGAGGCCGTTCTCCCATTCGTTGGAGGACGTTCGCTCGCGCGCGCGCAGCAACTCACGCAAAGTAACACGCGTAAAGCGTTTCACACACAACACACATACATACACGTACACACACATACATACGCGACACACAGAGGAGGGGGAGAAGAAGAAGAAGAAGAAGAAGAAGAAGAAGAAGAAGAAGAAGAAGAGAAGAAGCAGCAGCAGTAGCAGCAGCAGAAGAGGAGAGAAGAAAGAAGAGAGGAAGCAGGAGGAGGGCAAGAGAGAAAGAGACCAACGACCGGACCGCGAAAACGCGAACGGATCGCGCACGCATGCGGCAGCAGGACCTGCGTGCGTAGCCACACCACACCACGAATAAAGGACACTTGGTCGGTGCGATCGTAGGTGCGCTCGCGAGAGGCACCGCGAGTCGAACGCGACGGAGACAGCCACGACGTAGAGAAGAGAAGAGAAGAGAAGAGAAGAGAAGAGAAGAGAAGCGAGCAAGAGACGAGGAGGAGAGGGAGGGATCTGGCAGAGGACCCGGAAGAGGGAGTGGAGGAATCATACAAGAGGAACTTTCATGAGACAGGCGGTAGGTAGCAGTGCCGGGAAGTCGCAGCAGGTGGCGAGTAACTGACGTTGCCCGCCGCCCACGTCGAAGCTCGGCAGCGCCGGAGGATCGTTATCGTTACGACGATCCCGAGAGCTGAAAAGCAGCGACCGAGCGAGACGAAAGATAGGAAGTAACGGCGGCGAGCGCAGAGGTGTGCCGGCCGTCGAGCTGCTTACCGGAAGGGGTGCGAAAAAGCGGGCAAGCTGCGCCGGAAGGGGGTAGCCCGGGCTTCTCGCGAAGGCCTCAAAATTTCGGACGCGACGGCGGCCCTGGACCTGCGTGCACAGACGCAAGCCCAACCGGACTTCGGCCTAGAACACCAGCAGCCGCAGCATCACCATCCGCAGCAGCAACAGCAGCAGCCGCCGCAGCAGCAGCAGCAGCAGCAGCAGCAGCAGCAGCAGCAGCAGCAGCAGCAACAGCAGCAGCAGCATCAGCCACAACAGCAGCATCCGCAGCAGCCGCAGCAGCAGCAGCAGCAGCATCCGCAGCAGCCGCAGAGCCAAAATCCAGACTCGCGTACCCACCATCACCATCACCTGCAGCAGCAGCAACAGCATCATCATCAGCATCACCCGGGCAATCATCTTCACTCTGGCGATTCGGGGGGTGGGATAGGAGGTGGAGGTGGAGGAGGAGGCGGAGGCGGCGGCGGCGCCGGCGGCGGCGGCGTCGGCGGAAGTGGCGGCGGCGGCGGTGGCGGCGGCGGCGGAGGAGGAAGCGGCGGTGGAAACGCCGGTGGTGTTGCTGTTGTTGCTGGCGCGGGGCCACCAGGACCCGAGCCGGATCGCACCACGAGAATTCACGACGACGACGAAGAGGACATTACCGAGAGGGAGGACGAGGAGGAGGACGAGGATCCGTGCAGCTCGCCAGAGCCCGACCTTGAAAACGAGTCCGAACCAATGGAGATCCAGGCGTCGGCTGTCACCGCGGCAGCCGCGAATCTCCACGCGCTCCGTCAGCACGTATTCAAGATGTCGGACTACTGGCAGCAGCCCCAGCGCGGTCCACCCCAACATTCACCCGGGATACAGCACAGTCCTATCTCCAATTCGACGCAACAGCAGCAGCACCAGCAGCAGGTACAGCAGATGCACAGTCCGCTGGGCCAGCAGCAGCAGCAGCAGCAGCAACAGCAGCAACAGCAGGCCGCGGTGTCGCAGGTGCAGCAGAACGCGAACGCGAGTCTCGGCCAAACCGCGAGTCCCCAGCAGCAATTGCAGCAGCAGCAGCAGCAACAGCAGCAGCAGCAGCAGCAGCAGCAACAACAGCAACACGCTGCCATGTCGATGAACCAGGCGAGCCAAGGTGCGCAGCATCAGTCTTCCCCGGCACCGACCACGCCGTCGCCGCAGGCTGACCATCAGGGCGCCATCGCGTCCAGCATGGCGCAGAGCCTGCACAGCCTCGCGCAAGCACAGCAGAGCATGTCGCAAGCGTCCAGCCCGTCGCTGGCGGTGCAAGCTGTCCAAGCGGCGCAGGCCCTCAATCAGAACCTAGGCCAGGCGCTCACCCAGGCGCTCACGCAGAACATGCAGCAGAACCTCGGCCAGACGCTGCAGCACAATCTGGCGCAGAGCCTGACGCCGAGCCTGTCGCCGCAGCAGCAGCAACAGCTGCTCAACCAGCCGCAGAACCTCAGCCAAGCGAGCCAGAGCCTGCAGCAGAACATCCAGAGCCAGGCGCAAAACCTCTCGCAAACGTTGCAGCAGCAGGCGCAGAATCTCACGCAGAATCTCGGCCAGGCGCTTAACCAGCAGGCGCTGCAGCAGCAGGCGCAGAACCTCACGCAGAATCTGCAGCAGCAGGCGCAGAACCTCACGCAGAACCTGCAGCAGCAGGCGCTCAACATGGCCGGTAGCATCGCGCAGAACGGCGGCCTCGCCGGCATGAACATGTCGGCCGGTCAGCAGCCGAATTCGCAGAACTCGATGTTGAGCCCGGGCGCGACCAGCCAGGACTCCCACGACGCCACGCTCACGGAAAAGCTCGTCAACGAGTTGCAGGTGAGAGGACAGGAGGAGCAGCTCGGCAGCGCGGTCTCGCGCGCGCAGAGTCGGCCGAGACTAGCGAGAAGACACTCTCTCTTTCTCTCTCTCTCTCTCTCTCTCGCCGCCTCTGCCGCGCGCGTAATATTTTCGCGGCTGTTCTTTTTTTTCTGTTATTTTTCTATCTCTCTCTTTGTTTGTCCGTTGTTTGTTTCCTTTTTTTCGTTTCCTTCCCATTGTCTTCCGCGAGAGAGCCCGGGCCGACGAGTCTCTCTCTCTCTCTCTCTCTCTCTCTCTCTCTCTCTCTCTCTCTCTCTCTCTCTCTCTCTCTCGGTGTCTTTCTCCGTCCGTACGCGCGCGCGGGCGCGCGCGATCGTAGCCGCCAGCCGCTGCGAGCAGAGCGGCGATAAATAACTAGGGCGAGGCGACCGCGATAAAAATACATAACGCACCGATAAATAGGGTCATTCACTCTCGGGCCGAGACAGACGCCGGACAATACTTTCGAGAGAGAGAGAGAGCGGTTTCTCCTGCTCTCGCGGGGGAAAAATATTTATTCAACGGTGCTCTCTCTCTCTCTCTCTCTCTCGTTCGACGCGTCTCGCGTCCGTCACTCCGTCGTTCCGTCGTCCGGCCCTAGAAGCTGCGTCGCGCGAGAGCTGTATCAAGGTCCCTCCTCCTACGTGCGTGGTCGCGCTCTCTCTCGCGCTGCAAATTCGCGCCGGTTCGGAGGCCTCGCGTGCGCGCGCGAAAGTTGGCCGTTTTCGCCCGCGGAAAAATCGCAGACGCCGATGCGGCGGAATGCGCGCTCGCGCTCGCGCCTCACCGACGCGCCCGCGCGAGCGAGCGCGCGCGCGCGCGTATTCTCTCTCTCGGCCGAGCGACGTAGCAGATGTTGCCTCCCGACCGCTCTTAAGGCATGCTTAAGTAACATTACTTGCAGACAACGTTTAATCGGGAAACCGTTCGGCGATTCGTCGTCGAAACGAGCTTGACCGTACGCGCGGGCCCTACGGAGCTTTTACGGTAATTCAGCGTCACCTCGGCGCGTCGCCGAGTCACATGTCATCGACAATTTCGTCGGTTTGATACCGCGACTGTACCCAGATACACTGACCACGGTTCGTACATGCGCGCGTGCACGCACACACCGACACCGCGGCCGCACACGTGCGCGCCGAGCAGGGTACGTTGACTTACCACATCGTAGTAACTTACACGCTTGTACACGTGGAAGAGGGAGAGAGAGTGAGTGAGTGAGTGAGTGAGTGAGTGAGTGAGTGAGTGAGTGAGTGAGTGAGTGTGTGAGTGAGCGAGTGAGCGAGTGAGTGAGCGAGTGAGCGAGAATGGGCGAGAGAGAGAGAGAGAGAGAAAGAGAGAGGGAGAGAGGGAGAGAGATAGAGAGAGAGAGAGAGAGAGAGAGAGAGAGAGAGAGAGAGAGCACGCACACGTCAAAGTAGCAGTGCAGTCCGCAAATGCGAACGCGGCCCACGCACACCAATGCGAGGAGATGCAGATACGTCGTCTCCCGGGGTTCTTGACCCGCGCAACACAGATAATACCATACGCATACGTCATACGGTACGCCGGGAAGATGTTACCAAGAAAATATCGCGCCGTGTTTCTGCGACGGCATGGGCCGCGGAGAGTCTCGATACGATGGGAGTAGTGTGAGAGAGGGAGCAGAGCGAGTGGGAGAGAGCGAGAGCGAGAGAGAGCGAGAGAAAGAGAGAAAGAGAGAGAGATTGTGTGTGTGTGTGTGTGTGTGTGTGTGCGCGTGAGAGAAAGAGAGAAGAAAAATCGTATCTCCCCGACAGATAGCGGAACTTCGAGATCGCGTTAGCAAGTTCGAGAGCATCGACAATTTCTAATTAGCGAAACTGCAAATATCGCTCGCGAGAAAACCCGGTGAGCAGCCTCTCGCAGCTTCGATCCGCCGCGGCAATTCGCCCGATAACTGCGCGTCAGATTGAAAATTCTGTCGTTTACTATCATCGCCGCGGTAGGAATCTCGTCTCGCGTTGTCGAACGATTAACGCGAGCGAGTACCGATATATTAATTAGAGATTAGAGCGATTCCCATACACGACCACTCTCTGTGTGTCGAGAGAGAGAGAGAGAGAGAGAGAGAGAGAGAGAGAGAGAGAGAGAGAGAGAGAGAGAGAGAGAGAGAGAGAGAGAGAGAGAGAGAGAGAGAGAGAGAGAGAGAGAGAGAGAGAGAGAGAGAGAGAGAGAGAGAGAGAGAGAGAGAGAGAGAGAGGAGAGAGAGAGAGAGAGAGAGAGAGAGAGAGAGAGAGAGAGAGAGAGAGAGAGAGAGAGAGAGAGAGAGAGAGAGAGAGCTACACCCATTCCGTTCGCTCGCTCGCTCGCTCGCTCTTCTCGCGTTCGTCGCCCGCCAACAACAACAATAGGAGAACGCTCTTTCTTCTTTCTTTCTGTCGTTCCTTATTTATTCGTTCTGTTTTACTTTTTTTTTTCTTCTTTTCTTTTTCGTTTCCGTTTTTCGTTTCCGAAGTAGTAGTAGCTTCCCCCCCGACGGGAGGAGGCTTTGTAGTAGAGACGGTTAGTAGCGCCTAGAGGACGACTAGGAGGATCGGGAGGACTAACATGAGCTATCCTATCTTGCCTGATAGTCTCGTGCCTCTGCGGCGGGGCTTGGAGGTGCAGTAGGTGCCGGCGGTGGTGGAGGAATGGGCAACATCAGCGAACGCACCCTCGAGGAATGCTGGTCCACCCTGCAGCGAGTGAGTTGAACACTCAGCCCGTTCAAAAAACGAAGCCCCTATTTATTATCGCTCTATCCTGCGCCCTAACGCGCCTCCTAACGTCCTTCAGTTTCTCGCTTTAAGTTTCTAGCTCGAGCCCACCGGCCTCTCTCTGCCGTTCTCACCTTTACACACGTCGTTACGTTTCGTTTTTTCTTTTTCTCTCATCCATTCGCATACCCGTCCTGCACGCCGTGCTCGCGGACGCCATTGGACAGAGTCCTTTTATTTGGCTATTCTCCTTTTCGCTGATTGATCGTTAACGCTGAACGCGTCGAGATTCACCTTCATCCGCGACGATCTCGCTTTCGCGCGATCTCGTTACGCGTCTCCTGCGCGTAACAGCGGCTCTACTCGCGGATCGATTCGCGTCCTGTACATGTCGCTGTACGTGTACAGGACGCTGCGTATCGTTTTTTGCATCTCCGACAGCTTTGCTCGTCTTGATTCGTCAGCCGACCTTGATCCGTCAGGTTCTTATCATTTTTCCCCCTGCCGCTCGCTCTCTTTTCTTTTCTTTTTTACCCGCTGTGGCATGCGTCTCCTCGTGTATGTGTATCGCCGTTCATTTCGAGCCTCTTGTCTCGGCTTGCTGAATGTGTCGCCTTGTTCGTTTCTGTGCATTGTGAAATAGTCACGCACTCGTACAACTGACCGCCAGCGGCGGTTCGAACGATCCTCGCTCTCCCGCGCGCGCTCGTACTAACGAGCAGCGCGGCTAGGGATTTAACGAATCAAGCGCGACGCGCTTGTCAGTCTCGCATGGTCGTGACGCTCGCTCAATGAGCGAGCGAGAGCGCACGCTCGCGTCATGACGCGAGGAAAAGTATCGACGAAGCGGCGATTTTTCTTTCGGCCGATCGAGCGCGCTGATCGCGCGCGCGCGCTCGTGTGTCCGATCGATTCGCGCGCGGAACGACGCTCGCGGGTCTCGTCCCGTCGCGATTTTGCGCTAGTGCGCAGAGTACGACGGCGACGACGACGACGACGACGACGCCGCGCGAAAGTGGACGAAAAGAAAGCGGCACTAACGAGCCCTGAATTACGTTAAACTGTCGCCCGGCTCGCGGAGCGAGCGCGGAGATGGTCTCTTCTCACGGCGCGCGCGGACGAAAGCGGCGAAGGAGAGAGAGAGAGAGAGAGAGAGAGAGAGAGAGGGAGAGAGAGAGAGAGAAAGAGAGAGAAAGAAAGACAGCGCGGTAAAAAGGCGAGAGAGGAACCCTCTGCTCGCCCACCCGCCGGGAAACTTTAAAATTCTCATCCCCGGAACGAAACAACAATTTGTTTCGTTAAGTAGCCGCAGCGCTCTTTTGTTTTTGCGGCTTCTTTTATTTTAGCGGCGATAGCGTCGGGCGGTCGGAGTGACGGCAGAAAAGGTAACGACGAGAGGTGGAGGAGGTGGCGCGAGAGAGAGAGAAAGAGAGAGAAAGATAGAAGAAGAAGAAGAAGACGAAGATGGAGAAAGGAAGAGAAAGAGTGAGAGACGACAAGGAGGAGGTGGAGGAGGAGGTGGCGCGAGGGGAGTCGGTTGGATACTCATCCTCCCGCCGTGTTCCACCTCGTCCACCTTTTCTTCCATCGCCACCTTAAAAGCCGTCCCGCGCCGCGCTCGCTCGCGCGCGAGACGAAACTTTCGGAAAATCGCAAAAACGCGGGGCGAAGTTTCCACGTTTCACCGAGATTTAATTAAAACATTCGCCTCCTTTGTGCCGTCCCCATGCGCCGTTCGCGGACCATCGCGGCTCGTCGAAGGCGCACCACCACGGTCGTCCTCGTCCCGTCCGAGTGACGAGAACCGATACGAGCGTCTTCGATCAGTCGATACTGAGGCTTAACTCGCGTTCCCCCTGTCCACCTCGCCAACTTCAGCGATAAACGCAGCTGCAGCTACCGATTTCCGATCTCGATCTTCTGGAAATATTGGCGACAAGAAGTTGGCGAGAAGAAAGAATCGCATATCGTCGAAATCGTGCCGGGACCCAACACCTTGCCGAGGGGATCTTACGAAGTCGAGCGTGCTTCTGTCGATTGAAATCGATTTCAAGCGCGGACTAAAACAAATATGTTGAAGGGTTGATCGAAAAGAATAAACGCGCGAGGGTGCCGTTCACAGCCGCTCGCTCTTCGAGTACGATGTCACCCTAACAGAAAAAGAAAAAAAAAAAGAGGAAAGATCGAAACACTCGAGGATTTACTGCGAGCTCGTGGGAAAGACGGAGGGTCCCGCGAAGAGGAGAGGAGAGGAGAGGAGAGGAGAGGAGAGGAGAGGAGAGGAGACGAGTGCGCCGCGATATTACATAAACATTCCGCAGAGGGAACGATTCTCACAGGACTCCGGGCCGGGGGTGCACCCGCGTTTTTTCTCTCCTCGCTCGCGCTCTACCCCGAAAATTAAAATCCAATTATTTCGACGCCTCTGCTCTCTCTGTCCCGGGTCGGCCGATTCAAATGAATTTTTTGCGCGGGCTTCACCCCAATTCGCGCTCTTTCAACGCGCGTGAAACCGGTTCGCTCGCATCGTTCGGCGCAACGACGCCGCAAAGTTGCATCCGCACGCGCGATCCGCCCTTCATCGATCCCGGGCCGCGATTTCGGATCGCGCTGACAGCTGCCGGCGGAGAAACCAGAAACGCGCGGTCGAGGACGAAGCGAGAGGGAAGGAGCGGAGCGGAGCGGAGAGGAGAGGACAGGAAAGCGGGCGAGAGAGCAGGGCGAAAGAAAAGCGCCGCGAGAGCGTCGCGAGAGCTCTTTTCCAACGGGCGCAAATTGTCACGCGACGCGACGTTGCAACAACAATCGTCGTCATTGTTTCGGGGCGCGCGAAGACACCCGCGTGTTCTCGACGAACAGACACGCGGTGACTCGCGTCGCGGTTGTGCAGCAGGCAGCTGGAATATCGCCCACGATAATCGCCACTCGCAACCAAATCGCAGCAAACTCGCACCCGAGCAGAATAGAGCCGCGCGGTCTCGAATTTTTCTTTTTTTTTTTTTCGATCATCGTCGTCATCGGAGACGACCTCGCGAGATGCGACGGGGAGGAGACGAATGACACGTCGAGATTACGCAACGACAATGCGCGAAGTTTTGATCGAGGAACACTGCTCAAACACACGACGCGGCATAATGCGCAGCGCGATCGAATAATCCTTCCGTTCGTGTTCTTCTCTCGCCCTCCCCCTCCACCCCTAACCTAACCTCCACCCCCCTCTCGCTCTCGCTCTTTCTCCCAGTCTTTCTCTCTTTCGTCGTGTTTCACACCTCCTATTACGATAGAGGAGAAAAACACTGCGCGCGGGTATTATCTATTTACCGGCGCGGCGCCGCGGCTCGTCTCGCTCCGGCATGCAAATCTCGAAGAGTCTTTCTCACGTTGCTTCCCTCGGAGGAGGCGAGCGCGCGAGTTTTTTCACCTCCTCGTGCCCGGAAGGTTCCCGCGTGTACTATTTAAATAACGGTTCTCTCGCTCACGAGAGAGAGAGAGAGAGAGAGAGAGAGAGAGAGAGAGAGAGAGCGCGTGTGTGTCATTGTTTCATCGTTCCTCCTCTTTCTCTTTCTCTCTGCCTGGGCGAGTAACCCTTCTGGTTACTAGAAGAAAAGGGGGTAGTAGGAAGGAAGGGAGATTGCAACGGAGGGGGGTTGTTCTGTTTCGAGTCGGAGGAAGAAAACCGAAAGGGCGAATGGTGAGGATGGGGAGGAGTGGGAAGGGGGAAGTTCCGTGCCGGATAGCCGTTACGGCAAAGACAGAATTACGATGTCTCAAGACGAGGGATGCACCTTCCCGCTGCCCCTCACCCCTTTCGCCCCGTACTCGCGCGCGGTCCCGAGCGGACCGTCACGGAGAGAGAGAGAGAGAGAGTTTCTTGGCTTTTCAGTAATTTTCTATGATTTTCGGATCGCATGATCGGCGCCAATAACACGCGCGCGCTCGCGTATCCCCGCGGCCTCTTCGGAAGCGGCCTAATCGAATGCGTTCGATCGTCCCGTGAAAGTCGGTGAATCTGCGAAGAGTGGCCGTCCGCGGTGGTAATGACGGAGAGGCGAATCGTTTCGGGAATTTAATTTCACCGGGGAAACGGGAGAGTGTCCCTCCTGAGAGCCAGGCGTCTCTGAAAATTGCTCGAGATAGATCGAAAAGCGGACAGCGAGAAAGCGAGAGAGAGAGAGAGAGAGAGAGAGAGGACAATAAGAACGAAACTAGAAACTGCAGTATCCCCCGGTGATTGGCGAAGAGAGATCGGCGAAACAACGTCCGGAAGAATGATTGCAATGATAAGGTCAATCAAGAGAGAGAATGAAAAGCCCTTTCTCTCTCTCTCTCTCTCTGTCTCTCTCTCTCTCTCTCTCTCTCTCTCTCTCTCTCTCTTCACATGGTATTCCGGCGGAAAACACGCTCTTCGATATCCTACAATCTTCCACTCGGCGGGTGCAATCGAATGGCGCGTGGGCACATTGCGCGCGCGACCGGACAGCGTCAAAGCGCGGCCACCGTGCGCGGCCGCAAATGACATGTCAAAACTGCGCGACCGATACAAAGAGTCGTTACGGGGCGAGGAAGATGGAAGACGACGACGACGACGACGACGATGACGACGACGCGTCGCGTCGCGTCGCGACGGCGCGCACACGCCGCGCACGGCAATGCCGACGATTCTTCTTCACTCTCGCGCTCCCTCTCGCGCCCGCTGCCTCGCTCTCGCTCACTTTTCTCCGCGTTCCTCTCGTCTTTCGTACCATGCCGCTTCGCCGTGACCTACCCCAAACAAACCACGAGAAAAAGAGGGAAGAGGAGCGCGCGGCGGCGGTGCGGCCGGGCGCGGGGGCGGCGAGAGAGCGACGCAGGGAGGAGGGCGCGCGGCAGAAAGAGAGAAAGAGGAAAGAGACGCCAGCGGGAGGAGAAGTGGCCGGCCGCGGAGGGTGGCGGGGGAGAAAGAGGGCGGCAAGGGGGAGGGCGAGGGGCGCGCAGAGAAGGACGGGAAGAGGCGACGATAGTGGAAGAGAGCG